ACTTCTATGCAACTTCATCTCAATACTTTATTATAATCTCAAGTTTTGAGTATCTCAACCCATAAAGTAAAAAAAAACTTAATGAAATTTCAGCCAAACTCAGTGGAAGCCTACAAAAAAAACCACCAAATTTTCTTGTGATTTTCTAATTGCTTCACGAGTCCTGAATTTGAAACTAAAAAACATGAAATAATGATCAGAAATCATCTAATTGCCTTCGATGTCTAACTATTCGATATGTTCGTGAATATAAACTTAATCTGTGAGCAATAAATAATATTTTATTTTGTTGATAAAGTAATTAACGGAATCATAGGATTAAAGTAATAAAGGGAAGCACTAAACTTGTAGTCATTCAGCCACCGGCTATATTGACTCGAGTCAATTTCAAATCAATTTTCGTTTTTCTTTTACTTTCCCACAAATTTCCAAGAAAGTGAGATGAAAAACGAAAGGCATTTTCCAAAGTCAAGTCATTCAAAATTCCCCACTTCATTTTCCCATCACCCACCAACCCAAATAAACATATATAATACCATATATATACAATATTACATGGACCTGACTACTTGGGTCTACGCGTTAGATTATTTGACTAGTTCAGGAATAGTTTACTTATCTCTCTGTTGTGGAATCTCAGGAACATTGGACAAGGGAGCCGCAACAATTGCAACTTCTCAAAATATAATCCTAAACTTACGTAAGGGGAAAAATTATGCTCAACCCACTAAACTCTGGTGGTATTCACTATAACTATGTAGTTTTGGAAACAGCACCCAACCCCCTTGCCGTCAGTGAAATGTTAGGACTTTTCTATTGAGTCAAATAAACTAGGGTTAAAAGGGTAATTATAAAATGAATATTAAAAATATTCTTTGAAAAAGAAAAAAAGAATTTATTTTTTTTCCCTCTTCTTTCCTTCTTTCACTCCTTTAGGCTTAGGTAAATCTTCGTTTCTTATCTTAACCCCGAATGAGTGAAAATCATTCTTCCCAAATCAATAGCACCCATTTTCAAACAAAATCAAACCACCCATTTTCCTTTCCCAAAGCTAAATTATTTATTTTTCACTTTTTGTTCAACTTCTATGCAACTTCATCTCAATACTTTATTATAATCTTAAATTTTGACTAACTCAACCCATAAAGTAAAAAATTTTATGAAATGCAAGAAACCCTGCCAAATAAATTTATCTTTCTTGAAATCTCTTGAACTTGTTTTACAATCTGAGTTTGAAATTGAAAAAATAAATAAATATATCTATCAGACTTGTTTCAGGAGTTCTAAATTTGAAACTGAAAAACATAAAATAACGATCAATAATCATTTAAGTGCCCTTGAAGTCTAACTATATTCGGTATGTTGGTGAACATAAACTCAATCTACGAGGAATAAATAATATTTTATTCTGTTGATAAAGTAATTAAAGGAATCATAGGATTAAAGTAATAAAGGGAAGCACTAAACTTGTAGTCCCACCGGCTATATTGACCCAAATCAATTTTCTTTTTTCTTGCACTTTCCCAAAATTTTCCAAGAAAGTTAGATGAAAAACGAAAGGCATTTTCCAAAGTCAAGTCATTCAAAATTTCCCACTTCATTTTCCCATCACCCACCAACCCACATAAACATATATAAAACCATATATCTACAATAATTTAACATCACTTGAATAATATTATAGTTAAACAAGTCATTAAACACTAATATCAAAATTCTAATTGCTCTCTATTATTATGTTATATGAATTTCATAAACTATCTCTATTACTAGAATATGAATATGAAACAAAAATACGTATCTTGAGCAACGATATTGATAACTCCTGGTTAGTTTCTGAAAAGTCATACAACACTTCATATTATGTAGCAGTTGGGACAGGCATGGCGAATCTTCCGCTGTTTTTCACTCTGCAATTCACCTATTTTTCATGTTTTCGCGGCAGAACATTATGTTTTATCGCCAATTGGTATCACTGAAGGCTAGATCGCCTTGTGACAATTTCATGGAACTAACTATTTTCTAGATTTTCGTTTGACGCTTAATCTTATTTTTTGACTATCGGTTCAAGCTCTATCCTGCCTCATCCTTATAGGGATTCCTTTCACCTGAAGAGTATGGAAGATTTGGAAGTCACTTTTTGGCTCTACGCGTAAACGTGAGCCTTGTTTAGGAATGATTTGGGTTTTGTCTGTTTTAGGAATTTTAGGAACCTGGTCAACGCCAAAACAAGGGACCCGCCGTGATTGCAGCTTCTCAAAATTAATCCCAAACTTAAGTTAGGAGAAAATAATTTTCAAGCCCCTCAACTATAGTTGTATTGCTATAACCATGTAGTTTTAAAAACAGCTATCAGTCTTTGTCGTTAGTAAAACGTTATGTCTATACATCAAATAAACTAGGGCTAGTTATGATATGAACAATATTAAGAAAATAAAGAAGTTAAAAAAAGAAAAATAATTTTTTTTTAATATCTTTTCTTCCCGATCTCCTTCTCCCTTTCACTCCTCTAGGTCTGAAATTAATCTTCATCTCTTTAATACAACGCAACTTTTTTTTACCCTAAATCAGTGAAAATTATCTTTCCCAAATCAATATCACCCATTTTCAAAAAAATAAAATCCACTAATTTTCCATTTTCAAAAAAATAATTTAAAAAAAAAAAAAAGAAGGCGAAAACCATAACCTCCATCAAGGCCAGGTCCTCATTACACCTGGCACCTAATGTATCAAAACACTGGGACATTATGTTTGGCGCTCAGCATAGCGCAAGGCCAGAACGTTGTGCCTGTGCACAATTCAATGCAACACCAGGATTTTGGCTTTTCTTTCACTCTTGTTGGAGGTTTTCTCATTACTTAGGTTGGTTTCTAGTGACCCTTTGACACTTCTTTGACGTGGGTAAAAATTGGTGTTTTCGAGTGAGATTTATATTGTCAGATGTCTAGATTAGAATTTGCCATAGGTTTTAAGATACTAATATAATTTTTTATTGCTTATACATAAAATTATATTTTATTATTTTATTGGAAATCAACGGTAAAAAGGGTTTTAAGTCAGTTGACGGCGTCAGGTCACTGATTTAGGTAACGCTAACAAAAGGTAGGGGTTTAAGAGCTATTTCCGAAACAATAAACTTTTATTGTAATGCCACCATAGTTCAGAGGGTTGACAGAATATCTCTTTCGTAAGTCATGGGTTCAGTTGGCAAGGCATGTGTGCCACGTGAAGCGAAGCTTTCCACCGTAGCTTGTGGTCCAATTGCCGTCTCAAGAACATTTGTGACTTTAGGCAAAAGTTCTGTGGAGACCTTCTAATAATATAAGTATATATTAAAAAAAATATTTTAAATTTATTTTTCTTACCTTTTGAGATGCAAAATCACTAAGAGAGGTGGACGATGACCGACAGGCTAACGGGGTTAGGTTGGTGGGGGGTTTTGGAGAGCAGATACTAAAGAAGTGATGGGTGATGGGATGAGTGATTTCCAATGCCAGAATTGACTGGAAAAGACTTGAGAAGTCGCAGCCCAAAAGATATCGGTGGCCGGCTATGCAAAGTAAACGAATGAGATATGATAAGGGTTTTGGTGAGAAGGCTAAAGGAAGGAAGATGGTGTTGTTGGGGAAGGCCAACGATGTCAGGTACATGCCGAAAAGGCCGACAATGGCTGTCGCACACAGTGGAGTAGGTTGCAAGATTAGTAAAAAATCGACCAAATCAAGGGCTATCAAGGCTAGGAAAACACTTGGAAAATGATAAAGTAATGGTTTCGATCAATTTTGGTGAGAAAATCGATCAGAATCAGCTCTAAACGGCAAGTGGCGGAAGAGGGGTGGAGATGATTTATGTGAATGTCAAATTTTGGGATTGAATTAGAGGTGAGTAATTTGAGATATGTAAATGACTATTTTAGTTTTTCATTGTTAAAAGAAATTCAATGTCTTAATTTAAAGGTGTAAATTAAAATATATAAAACTAGAGGTACAAACTTACTATTTCGTCAAACTTTGGGTGAGAATATATGTAAAAAGTTTATAATAAATTTGGATTTTTTTGTTATTTTAGGGCCTCCTTAGATTGGCCTAAATAATAAATTATACGTTATTTTAATTTTTGTAATATATTTAAAAAATATTTATAAAAAATTTGGCCTTTTTCACTTTATTTTTTGGGGGCCCTAGGCACCTGCCCACCCCTTGAGCCGGCCTTGGGTCCAACTTACCTTTAAAACAACCTGTGGCGTCTTCTTCAACACAGCCTGTGGTTTCTTCGTCAACACAGACACAACCTCTTTCCTCACCTTCTTCAAAACACCCTATGGCCTCTTCTTCTTCAGAACGGCCTGTGGCTTTTTCTTCAGAAGAGAGATCCATTAATCAATCATATGCGATTAGTGTAATGGAGCACACTATAGACATAGATATAGCCTCTTCTTCAACAATAAAGAGCGAATCTTTTTCAATCACACCCATCTCCTCTTCTTCATCACAGCTTGTGGGTAAGTAGCTACTGAAAATTACAACTATTTTAGTTGAAATTGGCAACTAAAGTTTTAATTGTTAAAGGGTATTTTTATTAACTATTTGAAATAGTTTGCGTATCTTTCCTTGACAATCTTTCAGACGCGCAACTACTTTGAAATAGACGTTAAATGTAATCTGCAACTATATGATAACTTTCAACAACTATTTGAACAGATACAAAATGCTCATTTTCTTGTAGTGATTAAACTTCCATAAGTAAAGATATGATTCAATCAACCAATCAAAATATATGTCTTGAGAATATTTCTGTTTACTTCTTTTATTGCAGAGGATCTCACAAAGTACCGGCCACTGTATAAAGCTATACTCGAAGGCAACTTGGAATCGATAAAAGATTTCTGTGACTGGAATCCGGAAGCGGTACGCGTCAGGATCACGGTAAACCTGGACACAGCACTTCACGTAGCTGCTGGGAAAGAAGCGAATCACATTGTGAAGTTTCTATTGTGTTTCATGTCAAAAGATGAAGTGGGACTCCAAAATAATGAGGGCAACACAGCCCTTTCGATTGCTGCAATTGTTGGCAATTTCCAAGCAGCCCAAATGATAATGGGCAGACATCCAGACTTGGTTGCAGTGGCAAACAACTCCGGCAGGATGCCAATTATTGAGGCTGCTCAACATGGCCAAAAGAAGATGATAAGATATTTACAGCAATTCACCCGAGATATTTTTCATTTTGACGAAAATGTGCATGCTTTCTGCTTCTTGAATTCGCTCATAGTTGCTGGACTTTACGGTGAGTTTGTTCTTATATTGCTGCTACTATGATTACCAACAAGTTTTCAAGGAGCATATATTACAAAAAAAATCTATAATACAACGAGCTACCACATCATCCATACCACCCTCCAACGAATTTTTGTCATCTCTAATTTTTCCTCTTTCCTCTGTCGTCAAATTAATCGTGATTGGTAATTATTAAAGAAAAATCCAGAACACAGCAAAGATGTTACCACCTCCGGTGATATTACAACACCATTAAATATTTTCTCTTTTCTTTATCTTTAAATTAATTCCGATTGGTAATTATTTATTCTAATAACTATTGGTCATGCATGCATTGATCATGTGATATCATCGTAATATTATAAACTTTCTCACTTATTAAATGTAATAACTACTTAGCATACATGCGTTGTCATGTGGTACCACATCGGCACATCACTATGCTACAATAGACTTTTTCAATTTTAACTTATTAATACATTTTTTTAGTGATAGAATTGCTTTCATCTCTATGGTTTTAGTCTATAATCATCAAGGACACTCAGTTTCAAATACTAGTTTTTTGGTCCTTTGACTTAATTGACTTGAAAATTATACCACAATGACAAAAATACCCCTCTAAATGTAAAAATATGACACAATAGTGTCATTTGTGTAATGCATTTTTTTTCATTATTTTATTAAAGGTACTTTGTTTTCTTTAAGTAAATTAATAGTCCACTAATTGAATGTTGTCCAACTGTCCAAGGACCAAAATGTTAATACTTCTTAAACACACTTCTCCTTTTGTGACCAAATGACACTCTTTAATCACGGGGGTAGCTGTACTTAGTGGTCTTATGCTTGAGTCGTCAAAGAGGCAATTACTGGTTTTACCAAAAAAAAAAAAAAAAAAAAATTTACTTCTTAACCATAGAATGAAAATGGAATTATCTCTATATTTAAAAGTCTATCTGCATGTTAGAACTTTGAAATTAATTATAATCTATCGTCCATCGTATTGTCTCAGACATGGCACTGGACTTTGTAAAACAGTATCCAAGTTTAGCTATAAGGGAGCTATCCGATGGGGAGTCTCTTCTGAGTGCAATAGCAAGAAAACCTTCTGCATTTCCAAGCGGAAGAAAGCCAGACTTTTGGGACCGTTATCTTTGTTGTGGTGCGTACACAATTTTTTTTTTTTTTTTTTTTTTCATATATATATATAAGCGGTGAAATTGAGATGCAACAAGTTATAAATCAAGGCAAAAGAAGATATAAACATACACTTGTGTCATTGTTGAGTTAATTTAATTTGCAGTTCGAAGTTGTAGAGAGGAGATAGGAGAGACAAAGTTGATGAATCAGATAGCAGTAAAACTTGTCAAACTCTTGTGCATGGAAATTACAAGAATCCTAGACCACGAAAGAGCTTACTCTATACTAAAACGACCGTTCCTATTAGCAGCAGAATTGGGGGTTTGCGAAGTTGTTAAAGAGATTATAAAATCATTCCCTGATGCAGTCTGGTTTTCAAATGCTGACAATCATAATGCACTCCAGTTGGCAATCATGAACCGTAGAGAGAAGGTGTTCAACCTTATATTTCAAATGAGTGGTCACAAACATTTGTTATTGATGTCCCATGACAATGATGGGAATAATATCTTGCACTTGGCTGGAAAATTGGCACCCGAAAATCAACTCAATCTCATCAATGGTGCAGCCCTACAGATGCAGCGCGAGTTACGGTGGTTTCGGGTAAGCCTTCTGATTTAATCAATGTCACTAACATATTGCGGTGCATTTCTTACAAAGGACTATTAGTGAGAGTCACAGGAGCGGAAACAAAAGCATTATGGGAGGGCTAATTCTTTTTTTTTTTTTTTTTTTTTTCAAGTATACATAAAAACATTATGATATAAAACAACTGCATTAAAATAAAATTACTTGCCTAATATAATAAGTTTTTATCATTTAAATTAGACTTGGCAAACAGGCGGGCATAGGTCGGGTAACTATGGGTCGACGGGTAATTTTTTTGAACGAGTAGGAGAAGGCATTACCTGTACCTACCAGTGCGGGTATGGGTCGACCCACGGTCACCTGTTTATTTTACTTTTAAAAAATTTTCCTCTCCAATTTTTTATTTTTAAGTTTTTTCTCCCTTTTATTTCTTTATTATTTTTCATCTCCGGATATTTCTCTTTCATCTTCGTCATCTTCTTCTCTGTCTCTCCAATTCTACTTGTCTTTTTTCTCCCTCCCCACTTTTTCATATTTTTTCTTCTTCAGTTCGCTTCTTCTTCTCCCTCTCTCCAATTCTTCTTTCTCCTTCTCCACTTTTTCATATTTCTTCTTCTTCTTCAGTTCGGCTTCTTCTTCTCCATCTCTCGAATTCTTCTTCGTCATTTTCTCCCTCTTCACTTTTTCATATTTCTTCTTCTTCTTCAGTCTTCACCCTTCCAATTCTTCTTTGTCGTCTTCTTCTCCCTCTCTCCTATGAAAATAGATTTAAGTTTTTACCTTTCCCATTTTTTGCCTTTGTTCTTTGTGTCTCATTTTCCATTTCCCTTTGTCTTTTATAAACTAAATATATTATAGATCTATAATCTCTATTGCCGCTACCAGTGAGGCTAAGCATGTGTTGGTGCCGTGGAAGGCTGTCGGCAAATGGCAACCACTTCACGGCTTGATCCATGCATTCTCTTGTTGATACGTGGTTTATTTTTGTTGGTATGAATGTTGATTTTTGGTGTATTTTTATTGGTATGAATGTTGATTTATGAGTTTTTCTTTGTTGATATTATTGATTTCTTGTTTGAGATTTGAAGAAATCATTGATTTCTTCTTCTTCAGTCTTCACTTCACCTTTGTTAATTTTTTTTCTTTGTGTGGGTGCCCGCGGGTATCACCTAACTCACCCGTTATCATAAGCAAGCCGAGTACAGGTAATTATTATGGTTACCTGTATCCGCCCATTTTACCTAGCTACCCGTGGACCTGCAGATACGGGTCCAAGTTTACCAAGTCTATTTTAAATGTATATTTAATTCTAGAAAAGGAAGCGAAATGCTGACAGACTAGCAACTTGATGGATTGAATTTATTTTAATCTTGTTGATAAAAGAAATAAAGTTACTCTTAATTAAAAAATTTAGAAAAAGTAAAATAAAAAAGAGGATATGTGATAAATTCTAAATTCAAATTCGTTTGTTCCGAAGGAAAGATATCCTCGGATAGATCGTCCTATTCAAATATTTAGGACCAAGAAGAAGAAGTATTGGATTCTTTAACAATAATGTCTCCACTTCTTATTTTCCTTTTTTTTTTTTTATTTTTTTTTTTTCATGAATTGTGATTTTGATGATTTTTATTTCTATCAAAAAGCGGTAAACATGTTAGAATATTAAAACCATTTATTAAGAAATTTTGTAGATATTTTGCAGAAATTTGTAGTGATTTCAGGCTAAAAAGCCAGGAACGGTTTTAGAAGTGCAATCTTTCATACTTTGTAGTTATGAAATTATTTTATACAGGAAGTGGAGAAAATTATACAGCCTGCATACAGAGCGAGTAAAAATTCTAAAGGAGAAACTCCAGCAATGGTATTTACAAAGGAACATATGGAGCTTGTTAAGAAAGGTGAGAAATGGATGAAACAAGCAGCAACCGGATGCTCATTAGCAACAACACTCGTTACCACAATTGTATTTGCAGCGGCTATCAGCGTGCCTGGTGGCAACGGAGATAATGGTAAACCAAAGTTTTCCCATGAGAGAAGCTTCATTATATTTGACATTTCGGATGCACTCTCTCTACTGTCATCAATTGCCGCCATGATAATGTTCCTGTCCATGCTCATTACAGGCTATGCAGAAGATAATTTTTTTTATGTCCTGCCCAACAGATTAATATCAGGTCTCGTTTTATTGTTTGTCTCTGTAACGTCGATGATGGTAGACTATGGTGCCACTGTTTATCTAGTGTTTTATGACAGAAAGGCACACTGGATACTTGCTTTCCTGGGTGCTTCAGTTTGTTCGCCTGTGTTTTTGTTTGTGTATTTGAAACTTCCCCTCCTGGTAGACTTTGTCTTTTATACATATGGCCCCGGTATTTCCCTCAAGTGAGAAAAAAAGAATTTGAATTTAGTATGCACTAGAGAAATTGTAAGGGTGATTATATAAGAAAATATTTTTATACTCGTAAATTTTGTAACATTTCATCATAAAACATCATTTTCATTCTTTGGATGTTTTTAAGGGTTGAAATCAAGGATTCTTTAACAAATTGTGGCAATGCTTTATGCTATTTTAACAATAATGATCGATGCATTTGACACAAGATATAATTTGAAAACATTTCCTCATTAATTAAACGATTCTAGTGTAATAAAAATCAATAAAACTAGACTTACAACTTTTTTATACAACCCTGAGATGACAACTCATGATTAATTACTTTTCATTTGGGCAGATAAGACCCACTGTGAGCTAACCAATTGCGAGTTGTCACATCAGGGTTGTATAAAAAGGTTGTAAGTGTTGTGCTGCTCAATAAAAATTCATATATTTAATTATTTCACTCCAACTATTATAATAGAATAATTACTAGTGTGTGTGATTTTTCCATCAAGCTCAGAGAAATCAGAGTTCTGCAAGGTTATAGCCCAACCCAAAACCAGTTCAACTCAAACGATTATCTGACCTAGCATAAGCTCGTTGAGATATAGTTCGACCTAGTATAAGCTAGTCGCGACCAATCTCGACAATTGTTCAAACAGATCACAGATAAACTCAGATCCCAAATGTTTCGGAAGAGATTAGATTGATAGTAATGATGGCTCAATCTCAGTATTCAATCGCGAGGATATCAGAGTTGCATTCCAATCTTAATTGTAATTCCTTTAATTTTTCTATTTCCTTTGTACAAAACTTATATATAAACCTCTTCCAATGATGGAAAATGAGTTAACAAATTAGTCTAGGCATTACATTGAATTTCTTGTAAGCTCTCAAAGCAAAATAAGAAAACAATGGACGTAGGCTCAAGATCATAACTTGTTAAACCACTTTAAAAACCTTTTGTGTCATTTACTTTACTGATTTTTATTCATACTTTGCTGGTTATCATTAATCAAGCACACACCTATTCTGATTCCATCACCGTCAATCCGATCACTCTAGTTAATGCGATTTCCGTATCAACATTTTGGCGCTAGAAGTAGGGCCTCTGCCAAATTTCAAAATTTCCAGCAATCCATTTCAGTGACCCGATCACTTGAAAATTTTAATGGCCCATACTAGATCAAAGACTAACACTGAAAACCACGACAACATTGAAACTACCAATCAGGAGCTGCATTAGACTGTTCCTTCAGGTCGACCACTAGTGCCGCTAATGCAACAGATTGCGAATCAACAGGGGGTAGGGACATCGAATCTCGAAAATGGGCAGCTGGTGGAGATGATCAAGCTAATGGTTGCATAGGCGGTGCAACAGAACGTGGTTGCGTTGAGAAATCAGCAACCGACCCCCTAGGACCTTGACCAACCACGCTGCATGGATGTTATCCCAATAGGTTGGAACTTGGTCGGTGACCAATCTGGTTTGTCCGCACCAAGGAGCGACTGACACCCCTAATACCACAAAGTACATTCCGCTCATGAACATGAGTCCTGTGGGCAAACTAACCCTAGGACACGACTGGGCAAACAACCGATGTGGGAGAATGAAGACAATGGTTGCCCTATTAGAGTTGGTGCCCCATAGCCAATCATTTATTGTAAAATTGACTCTTTGTAATAATGTTTATTAATCAATAAAACGCAATTTTCTTCTGTATCATGTAAATCATAATTGCGTGTATTGATATATGTCCTTAGGATGGTAGAACCGTGACAAGAGTATCAAGTGTTTCAAATCTTGATAGTGAGAACCCTATGATCACATATTGTGGCCATTCTAGAAATGTTCGTAGCGCCAATATTATCCTGACCAAGAACACAGATAATATGGTAAGGCTATCATAGCGTTGAACAACCCTGTTGAAAGATGACTGATCTTACTTGTCAAGGTTGTTTGTCTACAACCTGGTGCAACACATGGGTGCTTGCTGTAGGCAAGTTCACTAGACAAACCCACAAGAGGATTCCATATAGATGGTAACCCTAGTGTCTATGGAATAAATCCTCTAACGAATGGTGGTGCATGTGATCCTTAGACTTGAGATCACCGGAACGCCTTGTGCACCAATTGGTGTAGTTTGACACTAGCCTAGCGTAGTTCTATTCAAAGTTATCAATATGGTAGTGATTGGCTGCATTGAGGAGTGCATCAAGACTATGGTGGATCAACAAAGGATTCATCACTCTTGGATAAGGGAGAAGTTATCTCACGGCACAATTCAGTAAATGACAATGACACTAAAACTGTGACCACAATAGGTTTGAGTTGTTGCTCAATCCAATTTATTGTTCCAGTCATTGGTCTAGTAACTGAATACAAAAATATCGAGAATAACTGGGGTTGACACTATTTATGTACCTCGACCTTGATGAGATAATAGATGATGAAATGATTTGATTGCACGGTAACCATATCGTTGATAGGCTATGATTTTGCTGAATCCGAATTTATTGAGTGGCCATGATGCCTTGCTAGGGGCCAATCTTGGTCTGTGTGTAGTGAGATGATTAATTGGAGTTAATCGCGAGACTACTCATTGTCGATATGATGAGGAGCCTACGGGTTACACATTTAGAAGACAATTTAAGAATCAGTCTATGAAAGGGGTATTTTCTTCTTTTAGGATGAAAGGGTATTTTAGTAATCTCACAGTGCAATTAAATTTACTGAGGTTGTTGCTTGTATTTAATTTTAATATTAAAATTAAAATTAAAATTAGTGAGATTATATTTAAATATATGTGCGCATGTATTTAAATGGATTATTATTAATAATTAAATGTTAATATATTATTGTATATATATTAATTGATTTTAATTTTAATAATAATTAATTAAATTTTAAAATACCAATTAAAGAGTGTTTGTGTAATGCTTTCTCTCTAGTTAGTATAGTCGGAAAATAAACAGTATTATAAGAAAATATATTAATATATATACATAGATGAGTATGAAATAATGGGCCCATATCTAATTTTTTCTTTATATACAAATCTTTACATAATATAATAAAATCACAAAATAGTAACTCAACAGTGTTGCCAAACTCTTCCGCTTCTTGATGTTCCAAGCGACCGCAATCTCATCTACTACCTGCAAAAAAGGTTGAAAACAATGGGCTGAGCACTAATTGCTCAGTAAGTAAACCTACTATGCTACCCTTCTCTCTCCGTTGCTTAAATTCTGAATTTCTTTCCTTACATCACACTTCTCTATTCTTTCTCTGTTTTTCTCTGTTCTTTCTCTATTCTTTCTCTATTTTTCTCTGTTCCTTCTCTATTTTTTCTCTATTTCTAATTTCTCACTACTCAAGATAATAGGCATAGTATTATGCATAGATATGATGCAAATGCATAGAATGTGCATTTTCTTTTCTATTTTCTTTTTCTTTTTCTGTATTTCTTTCTTTCTTTCTTTCTTTCTTTTCTAGTCTTTCTTTCTTTCTTTCTTTCTTTCTTTCTATTCTTTCTTTCTTTCTTTCTTGCCGATCAGACTTGGTTGAGGCATGGATTTGGAGCCCTGGCCGTGTGAGTATATTCTCTAATTTTGGGTACAGTCCTCATCCACATGCACTTCAAACGAACTGTACAATTCTTCTTTCTGAATTCTGAGGCCGCTCACTAAAGGCGGCGTGCATGTTGGGCTATGTCACTCACGGGTTCCCCATCACAACAACCTTCTCTTCTTTTATCTTTTTACACTTCTTTAAATAAAAAATTCAAATTTGAATTTCTTTAATATTCTCATTTCTTTCTATTTACTCTTGAATGTTCTTTAATGTTTTTTCATGCTCTCATGAGTGTGTATGCATGTAGATGGGTTCATGCTTATAATTCTTTCTAAATTCACATGTTTAGATGCAATAATGCAATATGGAATGCAAACATGTCCTTCTCTACCATCTACTAACTCATCTCAAGATAACACATAACCATACTCATACATGCACTTCTCTTTAATATTTCATGAAACAATTTATGTGCACATCCAAGCTCTAAATTAGCTACACTTTTACTTCTTTTCTAAGCCACCAAAATTTGAAACAAAATCTTCCAAGATTAACGCAAAACCTGTCCAAATTGCACACTCCATAATTTCGACTCCAATTCTTCCATAATTCATCCAAACTCTCATCAAATATCAAATATCAAATACACAAACACTACTTCTCATGGATAAGTTCTAACCATCATTCAACATCAAATCCGTCAACAATTCTTCATATAAAACACATATATGCATAAAAGAAATTCTCTACACAATATTGCTTCAATCATAACTAGGGTAGGATTTAGTTACCTTAAATGTGAGCAATCCAACACTTTAATAATCTTTTTTGATCCAACTCTCTTTCTCTTAAATCCTATGAACACAAATCATCAAAATTCAACACTTTAAAAATTAAAATTCACTTTTTAGTGCAAGGATCTTACCTAAAGATGCTTGAGATTGAAATTCCACTAAAAATGACCCAAAATCTATGAATTTCCCTTGAAAAAGAATTGAAGAAATTGAGAGAATTTGAGGATGAAGGTGGCGTGAAAATGGAGGAAGAGTGGCTAGGGTTTCATTCTTCAACTCTTGATATAACAAAATATTATTTATATTTTCCCATTTTACCCTTGCACTTTTTATAAAATTTTATCTATGTCCCTTATTCAATTAACATAATGCCCTCATTTTTATTGCATTCTCTATGAAATTCGATCTCTTTTCACTCCCCACATTTTCAACTAATTATGAGTGAAAAGACCATTTTACCCTTAATGACAATTTAAGGGATTTTCTTTACACTTTTTCAAGATAACTTGAACAAAATTCAACTAAGGGTATAAGGGAATAAGTAAAGCTACGTACCTTGATGTGAGCGTTATAGTTTGGTTGCAAGGGTGAACTAGGGTTGGAGCCTATGGCTATTCCAAAGTGGAATAGGGTTTTTAATTGTTGCACTATATAAGTGCAACTTAAAATTAAAAATATAATTATTCATTCAATTAAGAAACCCTAGCCACCCAAAAAGCTCTCTCTGTCTCTCTCAGGTTTTCACTCTTTAGTGAAAAAGAAAAAAAAAAATTCTTGATCTTCCTTGATTCTTAAAGTCCTTGGTTATTCTAGCAAAATAATCAAGGGTTCTACGGATTGTCTTCGTGTGAACAGCATGAGTGCATTTCTATGTTGAATCGAGTAGCGAAATCAAATCTAGAGATATTTAGAGGAGCCTCCAAACGTGCGTAAGTGTTCTAGATCCTTGAATGGGTTGTTTATTTTATGCAAATTTGTATTATACGTTTTAAGTTTATGCATGTAAATAATATAATATGTCCTTGGATTTTGGGATGTGTAAGTGATCTTTTTGTTTTAAAATACATTTTTCCGCTATGTGAAAATGGTCACTTGCCTACATGCCCTAGGGATACTCGACTTGCTCAACAATATCCCTAACGTCAGCGTGCTAGTTTTAACCACGCCAAAGGCGGGTTCAGACCTCACAAGCTCGCAAGATGAGTCACATGTGTCAATCTGGCAATGACCGACGTTTCGATTTTAACCAATGTCACGAGTAGTGCACTGATGGGTATGATAGCACCTACCAACTCAGCCATCATGACTCAACCTCGCGCATCAATGCACATGACATAGGAGGTTCACCAGTAATGGATCTTCGAACTCACTTGCTCGAGGTAAGGCTGAATGGAGCCCACAACCAAAGTACTCCTCATAATGAAGATTTAGATCGAGTGCAAAAAATGCTCGACGATCTAAGAGCCCGCTAGAGCACTATGGCGGAAGAAATAGTGAGTTCTCCGTTCACGAAGTAAGTTTGTCAGGCCTCACTCCCCTAAGGATTCAGGGCACCAGAGAGCAAGTTCAACGAGAAAGGAGATCTCAGAAACCACATTGACTCTTTTAACGACCTGATGGAGCTACATCAAGTCTGTGACTTGGCAAAGTGTCACTATTTCGTGGTCATGTTAGTAGGCGATACCAAGAGGTGGTTCAAGAAGCTCAAGGCAAACTCAATTCAGTCTTGGCAACAGTTCTCCTCACTGTACCTATAGCAATTCCAAGCGAGGAACAGTTTGAAATACAACTTCTTATTAGCACCTTGCTACTATGCCAGACTCTTCTCAGTCTTGGCTGACTTTGCCTCAGCTTTTGCTTGAGCGGCCTCGCTCACCTTAATTTTGTCAATGAACTCCCTTTCCTTAACCTCGAAGGCCTTAGCCTCCTTTTTCTGCCACTCAAGTTTGGCTTGCAACGAGTCCTTCTTCTTTTCCACCAATTTGACCTTAGCCAAGATGTCCTCCTTCAATTTCTCTGCTTCTTGCCACCCCACATGAGTATCCTCCAGTGTGGGTTAG